TCCATATTCCCACATTGGAGCTTTATTTTCACACACACATGCTAATAAACATGCCACCCCCACCGAAAGCCCCAACAAATAATGGTAAGGGGGGTGGAATGAGAATGGGCGGCTACAGGGAGAGAGAGCTGTCCCTCACACATGTGAGAATTCCTTTGTCGCGACAAAACATTTTATGTGGCGCCAGTCTCCAAAAGCCTCTCATCAAGCCTCCATTTTCGAGGGTCAATTTTGTTGCAGGACACAATATTCTGTGATAACGAAATTGATGTCCTACATTAAATGGCTATAAAAATGGGTCGGAAAAAGGGGAAAATCCCAAAGGGAAAATGAGGAAAACATTTTCGAAGACTGAGCGAGATACTCGGTAATCAAATTATTTGTAGACTCTTTTTGAAGTGGATGGCAAAATATCAGCAACGGACCCGCTAATTGATTTTGTCTTTCCCCCACCTCTCCCCATCGCTGACACAAAAAGGGGCAAATTGTGGGCGATTGCTGTCTGCTCTGGTATATATGAAGACACATACATATGTACATAGATGGATGGCTGTGGATACATGTGTATATCATGTACAGATACAAAATATAATTAGTTTTTGGACCGCTGCACAGAATATTCTGTTGGCTTCTGAAGCTTCCGATGGACAGAGATTGAAAAAAAAAAAAAATGTAATAATGTAGAAAGGAAAGGAATACGCTGTTGCGGAAACTACATTTTCCTCTTAATAGAATTTTCGTGCAGAGAAAATTTGGTTAACGGCCGCGAAACGAAATGTGCACGAGAATTTTGACTGTACAAATACTCGCAGGTTTTTCGGACTGCTGCTGTGAATTTGTATGATTGATCGAAGAAGTGGGTGGATGAGAATGATCAATGGATTGGAGAGTGGAATCCATTAAGGAATATTTTAAATAGCTTGAGCGAATTTTGTAATTATGTATTTAATATATATACCTCGTAGCCTTTATTTATATTTCGACCTGGCTTTATTCTTTAGACAATTATTTTGTTTTCATTTCAGGTAATTTTTTGCATTTTCTTGCGAGAAAGATTGTATTTCGTCTCACTTCGTATAAGAGAATCTAAATGCCTTATTGTGAAGGCCTTCTTAGAACCTCAGCATTCCACAGCTTATACCACTGGCTGCAAGGACTTGATTTTGTTTTGTAAATTGTTGCTGTTTGGATAACGATAGTAACAGATCAGAACACAGAGCACGTAGTAAGAACCCTACTGATTGAAATGCATCAAAAAAATTGGATCAGTTAATCGTATTTTTCAATTTGCGAGATACGTAAAACAGTAATAAAATTGGTAATTTTTTTTAACACAAGTGGCCAAGGTGATGGTCAATTTGTTTTCAAATGCAGAATGCTAAAAACCGCGTTTTTGTTTTAATTTTTATAAAATAGGTTTTTGGCAACAAAAGCTGTCGTTGGGACCGTAGTGCGATGTCAAGACTCCTCTTGAAAAAACTAAGATATTAGCCACCGTTCTAACGTAAATATGTACATACATAGATGTACATACATACATCCATATTCATTCATGCATTTAATAATCTTCGATCAATCTTTAGTTTTGCAGAGCTAATAGTTTGTAAAATACTTTATATGGCTTCATTTGAAGAAACACTTATATAGAATGGATTTCCCACATTTCTTCATTTAAGAACCTTGGTCATGAATGAAGTTAATTTACTTTTTGTAAACACCTCCATAAAAATAGCAATTTCCCAAAAGGTTTTTTTTTCTCAAACTTTGTGCTACTTAGAACAACTTGAAATGAAGCCCCAAATCCCGTCGCAATCCCGCCATTCATTTAGCGGGGGCCCATAAAAACCTTTTCAAATGGTTGTCGTTTCTATACATACTAATACATAATAATGTACATACATATGTACATATGTTTACCCATTTTTCTGCTCCTTTTTTTTGCTAAATATTTTCTGTTTGCGTCATTTTCCACAACTGTTTTGTTGCTTCTACTTTTTGCATTAGTTTTTCTATGGCTTTTCCCTAATTTGTTTGTCGGCGCCAGACGAACGACGACGAAAGCGAAAATTGGAAATGGAAAATTTGATTGATTATATGGGAAGATGATGATGAATGAGCCAGAAGAGTATGATGCTCTGTCAATGATGATCATGATGTTGATGATGATGAGGCTCTGATGATCATGATGATGATGATGATTAAATGCAAAATCCATCAGAAGTGTTGCAAACTTAATTGCCGCCAATTGATGGAGAGAATCGATGGAAAATTGAGAATTTATGAAAAAATCATTTAACGAGCAAACATTCTATAACGAGAAATCACTGAAAATTCGACTTGTAAATGCAGTTTATATTTTGGTTACCCTGCATTTGTAGGTTTAAGGGGTATTATGTAGCCAAAGGAAAAGGGAAGGGAACTTACCGAAAGGTGGAAAATAATTCAAAGACCACGCATGAAAAGAAAAACAGAGAAATAGATACCAGAGGGAAAATAAAGGTAAATAAATTAACGATAGAAAAGTGAAATATAGTTAAATGATTAAATACAGAAAAGGTGATAAATATAGACAGGTCATTAATTGAAAGCAAATCAATAAAAGAAAGACTAATGATGGAAAATATAGACACGCTCCCAAAGAATTGCACTGAAATCTGCTCAGTGGGCATCCACTGGTCGAAAGACGATGCTGTTGGAGCTCTTTTCAGTTCCCATTGATTGACACTGAACTTAACCGCTGCCCCGCCCTTTTGGTGAGAGGGCGCTGTCTCGTATATTTGGCAGTGAACATCTTTGGACTCTGAACTCTTTCAAGTGGACCTGTCGTCGTTTTCTAAGAGGAGAATGCGGTGAATGATTCGGTGACTGTCCATCTGGCGGATAAAATCAAGCGGAAAACACAAGACAAATGTCATGTTTTTGCACCCAAAAAGAACATTTTGACAGAGACGCTGTGGGTGATGATCCCCAAGATGATGAACACAAGACAGCCAAGAGGCGGTGGATTGTGTGCTCCTCCTACGACTGCAATATCTTCATTTGATTCAATCATCAATCATTTCGCATGCATACAAAGTGCTTGTTCTGCGAAACAGCAGTAAATATTCACTCTAACAATTTATTGAGGTAAAAGAAAATTTCGCAATTGGGTTTTCCTGCTTGCATAACTCACTGAAAAACTGTGTGTGCCGCAAATAGAATTGGTTTTTTCTATTTTTTGTTTGTTTTGGAACAAACATATATGAACATACACACAAAACATTGGAGCCATGGACTCTCGACAATATTTTTGAAAATATTCACGTCTCATTATATTTGTAATTGTCTCTGCGAGAAATGCAAATTCGATAATTTCGCACACATCAGAGACACCAGCATTGAACAAATATTAAATGATTCGCCTCCAAAAACAAACAAGCGGCTCCCCCAAACAAATACACAACGAAAATAATCCAACGATTCTCCGGACATTTGACACTCACATGGAGGAGTGACTGAGTGAATGACTGACTGACTGACTGACTGACTGACTGAATGAAAGAATGAAAGATCAGAAAATTAAAACAAAAGATCTACAACCATCCATATACATATGTTGACATCTAATTGTCGGGCCTGGATCTTCGGCAACTGTTCAAATACCCATGTTTCCACATATTTCGAACACATTTATTGTATTCATGCTCGTGTTATTCGTATGATCGTTGAGTACTCAAGTGTTGGGTGAGTTTTTGGGGAAGCAAACACAAGCCACAAATGAATGCGCGGGGATCAATAATCCTCTGAAGACAGTTCGTTGTACCTATGAGATCATCTGTTGACATTCAGTAGATCATCTAAAGATAATGAGCAGCACAAAGATCACTGGGAGATTCATGTGTCAGTAAATCTTCATTAGATCTCCAATAGATCATGTATACGCCATGTTGTTTTTGTTTGGACTATAATTATAAATATTTTTGCTGTGTATTTATTTGTTTGGGGAGCCGCTTGTTTGTTTTTTTAGAGGCGAGTCACTTAATACTTTTTCAATGCTGGCTGGTGTCTCTGATGTGTGTGCATTTTTCGTATGTCCAATATTCGCTTGTGCGTCTTCCTGGAGTAGTAACTTGTAAATACAAAAGGAAATCGTAAAAGAATCAAACATAAGAAGTGTTTCCGTTTTGGTCATTCATTCTGCGAGCCGTGGTAAAGGAAGCAATCGGAAAGAATTGGAAAGGAATTGCAAGTGGGTTAAATAATATGTGTGAAAAGGATGAATGCACGAAAGAACTTTAGTAGCGACTGGAATTAAGGAAACGGGATAAAGGGCTTTCATGGAAAAACACATCATGGCACCTTTTATCGGTCTACACCTAATTCCACATCCATCCCACACCATACCACGCCATACCACACCCAATGCTAGAGTCACTGCCGCTGCTGCCGTTTCAGACGAATGTCTATAAATGTTTTCATGCCTAATTGATTTAACGTCTCTCGCTCTCGGACATCGAACGTTGGACATCGGACATTGCGTCCGAATATAGACATCGATCCATACTGTTGCTGCTGCAGCAGCAGCACTCGTTAAAGCTCGACTAATTACGGATTTCTAATTTCGAAATGAATTTGTGCATAATATTTTAATGATTTCAACGGATTGCCGGCATATAAATCGTCATTAATCTTCCATTGAAAATGAAAGAAAGACGCGCGCGAATACTATTCTCAGATTCTCGGACACCGAAGTGCGTTGGTTGGGCTGTTGGGTTTTTTGTTCCTCTTCTTTCGGGGTTCTTTGGTGCTCTGAACATTGATTGATTTCACACGCCTCAGCTTTTCTCTGATTATTTTTAGCATGTATTTTCAGCGTGTGAAATGTGGAAGGGAAATTGTTATTTTTAAGGCGCGGGGAGGACGACGAAGCGCCACGACACGACACGACACGACACATTTTCCTCTCCAATGAACAATACACTTTCAAGGTCACTCATGGACTCTCTTCCTCTCTTTTGCAGATCAATCTTGTGCCCGAAGGGTGGAGGAGGAGGAGCTGTGCAGGCTGCCGCATTAGCGGCGGCGGCAGCGGTGCCGCATGGACCATGCCGTGAAGGCAACGCGTGGCCGCCCGCTCAACACGCTCCGCTTCGAGAACGATGAGCTCGAGTGCCTCTACCAGCGGTACACGCTCAAGCTGCAGCGCTTCTCGGTGCTCGGCGTCGTTGCACTCGTTGTGGTGCTATGCGGAGTGATGGCGGCCCTCTCGCTGGCCTTCAACAATGCGGCCACCTTTCATGTAAATACTGACAAACAAAACTGATTTCGAATATACATAGTTTCCATCATGCATTAAACGGTTTAAACTATTCCCTGAAATCCCATGTCACACACAGAACATCTTCAATTCGATCGTTTGCTTGCTATTCGCCGTGGTGCTGATCCTTTTGCAATGTTCGGTGATCAAGGATCACCATTTGCCGACACTGTGCTACGGGATTCTACTCTTTACGGCCAGCATTTGTGTGGTGTCCATGCCGACGCTGGGCAGCGTCTTCCCGGTGGACACCAAGGAGGTTATGGCCGAGGGCGTCTGGCAGATTGTATTCGTCGTATTTTTGGCCTACGCCATGATGCCGCTGCAGATCTGGGAGGCTGTAGCCTTCGGCATCACCCTGCCCTCGGTGCACATCAGCCTCACAGTCTATAAAATTTTCACGGATGCCCTGCGATATCTGGAGTACAACCAGCTGATTGCGAATATTGTCATATTCATTGGCGTAAATGTGGCAGGGCTTGTGGTCAACATTATGATGGAGCGTGCCCAGCGAAGGACCTTCCTGGACACGCGCAACTGCATCGCATCTCGTCTGGAGATCCAGGACGAGAATGAGAAGCTCGAGCGGCTATTGCTTTCTGTCCTGCCCCAGCATGTGGCCATGCAGATGAAGAACGACATCCTCTCGCCGGTGGCCGGACAATTCCATCGCATCTACATCCAGAAGCATGAGAATGTCAGCATTCTCTTTGCGGATATTGTGGGCTTCACAGTACTCTCGTCGCAGTGCAGTGCCCAGGAGCTGGTGCGGCTGCTCAATGAGCTATTTGGGCGATTCGACCAGTTGGCACATGTAAGTAGATGTCTGCCCGCACTCACACGTTAACTTAAAGAGAGCATAAATCAATCACAAGTATCAGTTATTCCATTGGGTAACGAGTGCCGAATAATTTGTATGCAATTAGTAATGGGAGATTTATAGAATTAAAACTTACCCTTCCTCTATTGTTTCTAATCTTTTTGTATGTATATTCGCTGGCCCACCTTAGGATAATCATTGTCTGCGCATTAAGATCTTGGGCGATTGCTATTATTGTGTATCGGGTTTGCCAGAGCCCCGGAAGGATCATGCAAAATGTGCAGTGGAAATGGGACTCGATATGATCGATGCCATTGCGTATGTACTTTTCGAATAAGCTTATAAGATTGTGGGATAACCCTTTCCTTCCAGCACTGTGGTTGAGGCAACCGATGTTATACTCAATATGCGCGTGGGCATCCACACGGGCCGGGTGCTATGCGGCGTCTTGGGTCTCCGTAAGTGGCAGTTCGATGTGTGGTCGAACGATGTGACCCTGGCAAATCATATGGAATCGGGCGGTGAACCGGGACGAGTGCATGTCACACGCGCCACCCTGGATTCGCTTTCGGGCGAGTACGAAGTGGAGGCCGGACATGGCGATGAGCGATCCTCGTATCTGCGCGATCATGGAGTGGATACGTTTTTTATAGTGCCACCACCGCATCGTCGCAAGGTAGTTGGAGTGTCTTTTCTTTCCCTTAAGTATGGATATCACTCCTCGTTTTTGTCTGACTTTTGCAGCCCCTCATGCTCAACACTCTGGGTGTGCGCTCGGCGATTGGCAGCAGGCGCAAGCTGTCCTTCCGGAATGTCTCGAATGTGGTCATGCAACTGCTGCACACGATTAAGTTCTCGGAGCCAGTGCCGTTCTCGAATATTGCAACCGGATCGTTTCCGTCGGCGGCCAATGCTTTGGTTGGCGGTGCCGGTGTGGGTCTGGGCGTTGGTCTGAGCGTGGCACGTGGCAGCACCTGTGAGGCAAGCAGCGGAGGCAGTGTGCAGGCCGTCTCGGAGAAGGGTTCACGCAAGGTAGGTTTCACCTTCTTTCGGATGGAGTGGATTGAATCGTTGAGAAGTTCCAGTAGATCGATTTTATGTTTCGGTTGAATTTCTGTTTCTGTTGCCGTAGCTCCTGCATGTCCGTGGGTCGTGGGATCGTGGGATCGTGGGGTTGGGGTCTTATGATTTTCCTGTGGCTTGATGTACAATTTTTCATTTCTGTACCGAGTGTCCTGTTGTTCCTCCTTCTCCCCCCGAAAAGAGTTGTCGATTCAAGTCGATGGGTAGTGTCCGAAGGTCGCTTGCTGTGTAAAACTGCGATTCCTTTTGATTTTCGTTCTTTGATTTCTTTCCTTTCGTTTACTTTCAGGATGCGGTAAGTTTTGCCTTTCGCCCAAAACAAAAGAAAATATAGTTTAAAGTAGTATTCGCCCTCTCTGTAAGGATCTCCTCGCCCGTTGAACCCTCCATTGATTTCCTTCTCCTTCCTTATTTCTCCGAGTAACTTTTCCGTTTGTTCCGTTTGTGTGTGGGCTCTTTTTTGTTTGTTTTGGTTTCTCGTAGTGGCATTATATTATCCATTCAATTGTATATCTGATGTAAATCTATCGTATATCGTATAACAAAACAATTAGATAAATAATTAATAGTGATGTGGATGCTGGTGTCTACTACTAACAACAATTGTGTGGCATACATATGAAGTGTATATTTTGTATTGTACTTATATTTGAGCAAAACGATTCGTTGCTTCGATGTTGTGTGTAGTTTTGATTGTAGAATATTAAATATAACATGTACATTTGTGGGACATCAAAATTGGTTAGATATTTCTTCATTGAATACACACACAAATACAGACACACACACTACACGCACTACTCCGGAGCTGAAATCAGAAAAGAGATCTCCACCCGAGGGGATCTTCAGGGAATTATTATTTCTTTTAGTTTTTCAGATCCTTCAAGAGTTTTCTAAGCTTTGTGCTATCAAAGATTATAGTAAATAGAGGTAGAAAAACACCTTACTCCCTCGTTGTCTTCGTTAGATTTAGTTGATGCGACAATTCCAATTTGTCCATAATTTCTTTTATAATCTTTGTGGAAAATCATACATCATACGTTTAGCTCTGAGTTTTCTATAATCTTTGATACTATACTGTATTCTATGCTCACTCTACATCTTACTGCTAATTAATCTATCATCAGCGTTTCTTATGTTTCGTTAAGATAATGTTTTCCTTATACTTTGCGCCTCTTCCCCTTTCGTACTCTTTTTCCACCTATTTATCATTCTCTTAATCTATTAATCTGTATTTCTGGCTATAATTTATGCTTAAAAACTACTCCTATGATAAGCAATATTATCTATCTTTTTGTATCAATTATATACATAAATATTTTAGATGTATTACGAATCTATTTTGAATATTCCTGTGTACTTCTCTGATCTCTGATTTAGGTAATCCGTCTGCAGAAAATCTTGCATGCCACCCCGCCACCGCACGCTCATGGCATGTCACCCATGGGTTATGGTAGCGTTGTCGGCAGTGGTGGTGTCGGTATTGACGGTGGCAGTGTCGGCTGTGGCAATGGCAATGGCAGTGGCTGCGGTGGGGGTGGCAGTGTCCAAGTGACCGTAGGCACAGATCCCAACTCAACAGCGAGTACGATTAGTCGCATTCATAGGCACAATCACAAGAACAATAAAGTGAGCAGAGCAGCAGCCAAAAACAAAACAATCTATAATTTTTGTTCATTCGTTCAGTCGTTCGTTCAACCGTTCAATCGTTCAATCGTTCAATCGTTCGTTCAACATTCCGATTCATGTTTCGTTCAGTTGTGCTGTTCCACGTTTCGTTCATTCTACGTCTACGTCTTCGTTCCTTCGAATATGTGTGTCGTTTCATGTTGCAACCACTCATTTCAGTACAGTTGTGGTCCGAATTCTCAAAGTTATGTGTATGTTATCGATGTGCATGACAATTAATACTAAAAGTTAACAGAAATAAAATATTTAAAAAAGAATAAAAAACAGTTGGGTTTTTAAAATGTTCTTAAAAGCAAAACTACTCAAAAAAATTCAAAAACTCATAAAAACCACTCTTCGTTAAGTTATTTTTGAATCCAAAAATTGTTTAATACTTTTAAAATTTTTAAAAACGAATTATTCTTCAAAAATACTAAAAAAATGCTCTTTGTTAAGTTTTTGATATTTAGAAATACTTAGGAAATTGAAATGTTATTAAAAACTCTACAACTCTGGCCACAACTGTATGCAAGTGTCGTTTGTGCATTCGTTAAGTTATTGCTTTTGCGTTCGTTAAGTTGTGTGCATCTGCGCGGGCGGGGCGTGGGGCCTTCATGCAACGCTTGTTTCGTTCAGCATCGCTCAGTTTCGTTTCGTCAAGCCTCTGATCATTCGACATTCAGCGTGCATGTTATTAGCTATTTTTCTTGACGTTCATTCAGTCTCGTAAAGCTCTCTGCCTCTCACTCTCACTCACACTCATACTCTATGTCTCTGTCATACATGGAGCATGCTTACTACAATCGTTCGTGTCGTGTGGTTCCCAGTAGCCTGACCAGTAATCCAGTATCAAAAATCGGCTCGCAGTAAACCTCCTACCCGGAACCGCATGCCGTAGCATCTCTAGCATCTAGCATTTAGCATTTAGCATTTAGCATTTAGCCGCCCCATTTCGTAGCATTTAGCATAGTACATAAGTAGAACAAAAATCTATTTATCTCTCTAAAAATTCAGCCAGCAATCAGCAGTCAGCCAGCGACCAGAAAACGAAAACCCATCCGGGAACAGTAACTACAACTAACCGAAATACCATTTTCTTCCTTCCTTCTTCCCATTTGCTCCTGCCTGTTGCATACAAAAAACAAAACAAAAAAAACAAAAAACCAATTTACAAACACACACAGTCACAGTCCAAGGTGGCCGACAAGTTCAAGCGACCTTTCCGCAAACGGCATTCCGTGGCAGCCCATCATCAGCCCACGAATCGAGTGAATCGCTTCCTCTCGCAGGCGATCAACGCCAGGTCCGTGGACTGCGACAAGTCGGAGCATGTGGATCGATTGACGTTGCGATTCCGCCAGAGCGACATGGAGCGCGAGTATCACAAGGATTTCGATTTGGGTTTTACCACCGCCATGGGATGTTCCCTGCTGTTGCTGATACTCGGTGCGGCGCTACAGGTGACAGCCCTGCCACGGACACTCATACTGCTGCTGCTCTTTCTCACGGCCTTCATTTGGGTGAGTGCCATTCTGATGTTGCTGCTGGCAGTGCGCCTCAAGTGGATCATATGGGATATTTCGGAGAGCTTCAGTCTGCGTATGGCCATTACCATATTTACAATCATTTTGATTTATTCGGTTGGACAAGTGAATGTGGTAAGTATTTGAAATACTACTTTTATCGCTGAAATGTACTTAAAATGTATGTTGTTTTTTTTATAGTTCACTTGCGTCACGGATCATCCCTGCTCGGGCAATACCACGGCCAATGCCTGGTCGTCGAGTCGCCAATTGGATCCGCATTTTTTCTCATATCCCAGCGATGCCCATCGCAAGTGCTCGCTGCCACAGTACGTGTCATTGTCAGCGGCATTTGCCTTCCTCTCAGTCTCAGTGTTCCTCAGGTAAGAGGCAAAATGGAGGCACCAAAGGCGAGCACCTAAATGTTGACACACTTCTCTATTGCCACACAGATTGCCCATCATATTCAAGTCGCTGCTGGTACTGGGTATGGGCACCATTTATGGTTTGTTCATTGAACTGTCGCACCAGAACATCTTCGAGTGCTACGACCATCGGGTGAAGTAGGTCACTTTATTTTTGGTCACTAATCGAATTGATCCACACACACATACACACACACACACACACACACATAACACACACGCTCTGTGCTTGCAGCGCCTCGATTCCGCTTCATTTGATCTCATTGGCGCGCATTGTCATCTTTATGATTGCCATTTTGGTGCATGGCCGCCTGGTTGAGGGCACCGCCCGTCTGGATTTTCTCTGGCAACTGCAGGCCTCACAGGAAAAGAAGGAAATGGATGTGCTGCAGGAGTCGAACAAGCGCATTCTGCACAATTTGCTGCCCGCTCATGTGGCTGCACATTTTCTCGATGCACAATTTCGAAACAATATGGTAAGCGTTGCCCACCTATTGACCCACTCGTTGAAGCACTCTCTTTTAACCACTGTTTATGTCACATTTTCTTCCGCAGGAGCTTTACCATCAGAGCTACGCCAAGGTGGGCGTCATATTTGCCAGTGTTCCGAACTTTAACGAATTCTACACCGAAATGGACGGCTCCGATCAGGGGCTAGAGTGTCTGCGTTTGCTCAACGAAATCATTGCCGACTTTGATGAGCTGCTGAAGGAGGATCGCTTCCGTGGCATCGATAAGATCAAGACCGTTGGCAGCACCTACATGGCCGTGGTGGGTCTTATACCAGAGTACAAGATTCAGCCCAACGACCCCAATTCGGTGCGTCGCCACATGACCGCCTTGACGGAATACGTGAAGGCCATGCGGCTGTCGCTACAGGAGATCAACAGTCACTCGTACAATAATTTCATGCTTCGAGTGGGTGAGTAGTCATGGCTACAGAGAGAGAGAGAGACCTCTTTTAACGAATTATAATTATCCAATCTCTTTTCTCTTTTCTGACTTTCTTCCTTGATAGGCATCAATATAGGGCCCGTGGTGGCGGGTGTAATTGGTGCCCGAAAGCCGCAATATGACATCTGGGGCAATACGGTGAATGTGGCCAGCCGCATGGACTCCACGGGTGTCCCCGGTTATTCCCAGGTCACCCAGGAGGTGGTCGACAGTCTGGTGGGATCACACTTTGAGTTTCGGTAAGAGAATTGAGATAAAACCAAGTGCAGCCTCTTCCTAATCTCTCGTTCAACCTAGATGTCGTGGGACCATTAAAGTGAAGGGCAAGGGCGACATGGTCACATATTTTCTATGCGACAACAGTAGTAAATCTCTGAATGGTGAGGTACGCAATGCCATGTCCCTGCCGCAGAGCATGCACGGTCCCGACTACTACATGAAGGCCTCACAATTCCCGGATAATCGCGTCAATACGGACACCTACAGCAAAAAGGAGAACGGCCATTTATACACTGCGGTGGGCGGCGGCGAGGAGCAGCAACTGCTGTTGCAGCATCAGCACAAGCAGCTGGATCCAGTGCCGCTGCCAATGCCAATGCCAATGCCACTGGCCCTGCCCGCTCCACCACCGCCGCACCATCTGCACCAGCAGCAGCAGCAGCGTCTCAACAGTAAGCTGCAAAAGCAGCCAAACTTTATGGCCAATGGGGGACTGCCGAATATTCGCGAGAACGGCCACAATGGGGAGCACCAACATTACATGGTGGGGGCCTCAACGACGGCGACGACTACGACAACAACACCGTCATCTGCTGCTGTCCCTCTACCCCTGGCTGTGGCAGCCCAGAACCAGAACCAGAACCAGCACCAGATCCTACTCCAGCACCAGATCCATCACCAGCACCAGCTACAGCTCCAGCACCAGCCCATTCCTTCGGTAATGTTGCGCGAATTTAATATCATTGAGAATCCGAATCCCGGTGGCAGGCATCCGCATCCCCAGCATCAGCAGCAGCTGATGGAGCAGCTACCGCCGCAGCTGCTTGCCCAGCGGCCACAGCATCATGGCAGCCTGACCATGGATGTGGCTGGAGTGCTCGGTGGTGGCGGTGGCGGTGGCGGTGGCGGTGGCGGCGACTGCTTCATGATGCCGCGGCGTGATCGTGATCGTGAACGAGATCGTGATCAGCTTCAGCTACGCACATATGCGCCGCCGCCCAGCATGGCGTTGCCCTTTAACCAGCATGGCCATCATCCAATGCATCATCTCCATTCGAATCCGCATCAGAATCAGAATCAGCATCAGCCATCGTCAGCCACCAGCCTGGGGTATGGCCACTGCCGTGAAAGCGAGCCGCTATTGCATGCCAGCAGCATCGCGCCGGTAGCCAAGGTGAGTGATGAAGATGAAGACGATGACGATGATGACGTTGACGTTCACATCGATGTTGTTGAAATGGAGAGGCTCTGGGGCAAGGAGATTTTGCTATGAATAAACCAGAGCTAACCTCCAGTGTAGACTAAAGATGTAGCCTCCAAGTACCTGCCCATCCCCATACCCATACCCATCCTCCATTTGTAACTAACTTTTAAACGGAACAAATTTGTATATGCATATGGGACAAAAACTAAATGTCGTAGAGCAATTCTGTGAAAGATTCAGTTGAGATTTCAATATGTAGCTTTAAGGTTTAAGCTTCAGCTTATAGGCCCTTTGATACCTTGCTTTGATAATTGCAAGGAAATCAAAGCAAAGAAGATTAGTTTGTATTTTGTTAAAGCAATTGTAGATAAAATATCCCTTCTTATGTTTTAATGCACACAATTCTTTCAATTGTCGAGCACTTATGCTTTTTTTATTTTGCTTAAGGGGCACAGAAGGAAATAATTCAGAGAAGTATAAAAACGTACTATAGTCCATGGGTAATCCCATTTGTGGTACCTTTATCCGATCAATATCTATCTATATACCTGTGGTTTGCTGGTGATACTTGTATCTCCTGTGCACCTCCCCCTTACTCCCTCCATTGCACTCAATTCTAATGCTCTCAATGTGATATCTGATGAATCTCTCTCTCTCTCTCCAAATGTGTGTCTAACTCTCTTTCTCTCTGTGTTCCACTCTTCGCATGCCACACACACACACACACATACACACGCACATCTCTGTCTCGCTCGCTCATCTCTCCGCTTGCCACATTCACCACAAAAACACACACACACACACATACCGACTAATCCCATTAGATCATGCCCATGCAGCATGCGCCAAAGTACGAGCCACCACGTTACACTTCTCCCAACACCGTGTTGTCACAGCATCCGCATCAGCAACAGCAGCAGCAGCAGCAGTCGCTTCCTGCGCCCCAGCAGCAGCAGTTGTACGGACACCAAATGATGCAACAGCAGCAGCAGTATGCCATGTACTCGCAACAGTTGCCCATGGCGGTGCCAGTGCCGCTGCCACCGAAGCCAACGCTGCGGACATACATGAAGCCGCTGCCCAAGCTGCCGCCAGAGTTGGATGAAAGCCGTGACATGTCCTCAACGGATGACCTAAGCTCTCGGCCGCACTCCCCGTCTATGAGCAGCTCCGATGAGAGCTACTCGAAAACAACGGAGGGCGAAGGCGAGGGCGATGAGGACTCGCCCAGGATCAATGGCAGCCATCACCATCAACAGCTGAATCGGAACGGCCATCCCGTGGGCTACAATCTGCCAGGCGGAGGAGTGGGAGGAGGACTCGTGAATCCTCTACAGTGGCTGTACCCATGCGAAATTCAAGTGGATCCCACCTCGCCGGTCGTGGACATGACCCAGCTGCAGGACTTTGAGCTTAGCTCCACCACCGAGAGCCAGGGCCAGCACACGACCAGCAATGCGACGAGCAATACCCAGAACAAGGGCGACAGTTGCAACAGTTTCGATTACCAAAAAGCAGGAGGATCCACCCAGGTGGGGCACACTACAGCAGCAGCTGCAGCAGCCACAACCAAATCCCCCTTCGAAAGAGAGCTGCAGCGATTGCTCAATGAATCCTCAAGGGCACGCTGCCTGGCAGCAGCCAACGCAACAGAGCTGTCCACCAATGGAAAGCAAATTAGCTATTCCGTGAGCAACAGCAAGCTGGCTGGAACGCAGGGAGGAGCGGGAGCGGGAGCGTTAGCCGGCACAGCAGGCAATGGCAGCAGCGGTGGCAGTGGCAGCAGCAATGGTAATCTCAGCGGTGGCAGCAACTCGAATGGCAGCGGCAACAACAATCATCAGAACAATCGCGATCGCGAGCAGCAGGAGCACGAACTGATGGGCAGACTGCCGGCCAGCAGCAGCTTCATGATCGCCAAGCATCCGGTGGGCCTGGAGGCCATCAAGGAGATAACGCGCAACAAGAATCCCTCGGAATCGAGTCAAATGTGAGTGTTCCATAACCCCACCACCACCACCACCACCACCACCACCACCACCCAAAACACTCATTTCCATGTCCATAAGAGAGGTATGCGGTGTGCGGTAAAATACTTTCATTTGGTTGCTGGTTTATTTGTCTGTTTTATTCATTCGATTTACTTCAGTTTGAGAATTGTTTAAATTTATTTATTTGCCAATCATTTGTGCAGGCAAACTTCGGACACGGAATCCTGCGAGATTCTACACGAGAATCGCAATCAATTGCATGCCCTGTCGCATCCCAATCAGATGATGGAGCAGCAGCAGTCGCAACAGCAGCAGCGGGCACATCGCCAACGGCCACGCTCCAAGGAGCTGCAATACAGCCACGAGAGTCTGGATGGTCTGCAGGAGCAACAGCAGCAGCAGCAGCAGAGGCACCCGCGCTACCACCACCATCACCATCATCACCACCATCATCATCATCAGCAGAGACAGCAACTCCAGCAGCAGCAGCAGCGGTACAACCATGTGCAGGAGCAGGAGGAGCGTGACGATACAGAGGATAACCTGGCCGACGAGGAGTTCGAAGACGATGAAGTGGGTCGGGATGTGCGACAAAAGCGCCTGCTCCAAGCCCCAGGAGAGAAGCAAAAGCAAACAAATGGGGATAGCGACGACGATGATGATGATGACGATGAGGATCGTGAGGATCATGAGCATGAGCATGAGCAGAAGGAGCAAAACAATATGCCACCGATGACAAATGGCGGTGGTGGCTGTTCTGGTGGCCTGCGCACCGGCGGCCTGGAGTCGAATGTGATAAACGATGAGCTGAAATATGGGGCAGCACATCTCAACCATCAGTCGATGGACTCCAATCCATTGGAGAGCCAATCGGAATGGTCCGACGATGATTGCCGCGAAGAGGCCACAGGTAAACAGGTTTTTCCATAGGTTTTTAAATATGTCTAAGATCTTATTTCTGTTGTAGGTGGTGCCGAGTCCACTGGCTATATTACGGATGAGCCTGGACTGGAGAACATCTCGCTGTTGAATGAGGCCGGTCTCACCGACGCAGAGGGAGCACTCTCGGATGTCAATTCGCTGTACAATGCCCCCGATGTGGATGACACCTCAGTGTCGAGTCGCGCCAGCTCAAGGTTGCTCAGCCTGGATTCGCTGAGTGGCCTGTACGATTGTGATCTAGACTCGAAGCATGAGCTGGCCATAGTAAATGCCTCGCACAAGATAACCAGCAAATTTGGACCTCCACCATCACCGGCACAACACCAACAGTCGCAGCAGCAGCAGAATCAGCAATTGCAGTCTCAGTCTCAGTCTCAGTCTCAGTCTTTGGTTACGGCTTCGTCTTTGGTTTCGGTTCAGGTTCCAACTACTCAGGCGCAGGCACAGGCACAGGCACAAGCCCATTCAAAATCGCAATCGCAATCAGCGGAAGAGCTAAGGGAATAGAATGGAATGAAGGAGGAACAGCACTCAGAACGTTGTTATTGCTATAAAATGCAAAAAGGTGTCTATTAAAACTTAAACAATAAGCGACAGAAAACACCCAAAACTAAAGATAAACATAAACCTATATGTAGAACTAGAGGACACAAAAGAACAGATAAAGTTAAAGATATATATTTATGTACGGTAGAAGACGGAGGAGAACGAGAGGAGTCAATTCTCTACCCTTTTGGCACACAAGCACCCACACCCAAACTAGATATTATATATAGTATATACAGGAAATATCTATATTACAATTATTATTCGACAATTAAGATGCATATAGTCATGCGGCCCCAGTTAAAAAAGAGTTCCAGTTACTATGCTCCTTCGAAACAAAAATGAACTTGAAAAAACAAAACTTGATATTCACTTGGAATCAAAAAATTATATAAATACACATACATATATACTCTGATATATACCATGATATGATATGCATTCATTTAGTGCGCTTAGAAAACACAATCCCTATCCCCCTGCCACCCCATTTGTTATTTATGTAAGCAGATAAGCATACTATTTATGTATTTGTATTACCCCCGAGAAAAATTGCATGCATGACACACATACATCCGCGTAAATGTTGTATATAAAAGAAGAACGCAAGAAATGATATATGTTATATATAGTATATATATATAAATATAAATTTTAAATGATATTAAGAGGGCTACAATGTCTATAGACTGCGGCACACCACACATTGAACTGAATGAAAAATTGAATTAAGTCGAAGAAATTAAATTTAATAATATCTAAAACCCATATTATATGCAATATGTATATTGAAAGGAAGCTTATGTATGTCTCCCTAAACTCTTCGAGAACAGGGCATACAAAAATCATACGTAAAAAAGTGCTTTGATTTGATTTGATTTGATTTTGAATTAATTGACTTTGGTCTTCTCCCCTACCATCCGTCGCAAAGCGTAGGGTCCTGTGCCATCATCTCTATTGTGTATATGTTCTACCCGTTGCTTAATGATCCTTAGTTTGTAAGTGCTGGAAAGTGGAGGCGACTAAAAGTCGGTTTTCCCCCCATTCCACCCTGCACAATTGTCAGAATTTCATTTGCTACAAAAAATAACATATAAAATAAAAACTACATGCGTTAATCGTCTTAGGATCTGATCTGTATATAGTATATGATGAAATATATATTCAATTAAAATTATTACTAGAACTCTAAGAGAACAAAATGTAGGTACTTGAAAATAAAATCTCGTACAACTGTGCAAACGATAAATACGAAGAAAAACAAAACAAAACAAAACAAAACAACAAATATTAAAGCAAATAAATCAATATTTTGTGTGTGAAATTTATAGAGTGCTATCTTTAGGAGCGCCAACAAAACAAATTATAGACAGAGAAGGAAAACAATAGCCACAGCAAAAGCGAAAACAAGAAATAAAAACAGAACTTTGAAGAACAATTGCAAACAGCCCACAGAGAAATAATTTGTCTTACGCAAATATTAAACACATAAAACATAAAGTCAAAAATGGAAAACTCAAATGAATATCTATATATATATATATACACACATATGTATGTGCCCCCAGAGAGAGAGAGAGAGATCCACATGCAAGGAAGAGCTGAAGGATATGCAAGTACTATATTTATTTTTGTGTACCAAAATAAAATGAATGAGGACGGACATTCTACATTCGAAATAAAACAAATACTATATCTACACAAAATAGAGAAGAGAGAGATCTGCAAATGGTAACCGTATGTAATACTATATGGGGCTGACACATAGACAACCTAACTTTTAAGGAGAACACAAACAGAGAACAAACAGCAACAGAATGAACCCTACTAACAAATAAATAAAAATGGCAGCATATCAAATATGTCAACAACAAAATATATATATTATACAAAAACAATAAGTGCAGAAAAAGAAACGTTTTACTGGGAATATTCAGAGGGTTCCAAATAAATATTTTCCAGGCCATAACTTAAAGGTACTTACCTGCTTATCATCATCGTATTTTTTCTAGAATTCCTACAGCTAATGGAAAAATTCTTGAACTGGAATTGTATTTGCCAGGCCTAGAGCAGTAAAAGGCTAAGTTTCAATCAGCCAGACAATTTGGATAATTTATTTAATGAGTAAAGGCATCAGCTCTGAATAACTAAGGCCTAACATTAGTACATTTTTGGGTTCCAGTACCCTAGTGACACACCTTTCAACTGTGTGGAACAGAGCGCAATTATTATTTAACCATCAAGTAAAACCAACAAAATGCCAACTAAAAAAGCAAGATAATATTATGTATTTAGAGAGGCTGATAGGCTGATACGGAGATAATTATCAGCATCAGAAAGATTTAAATTCCAAGAATTCCAAGATTATTCCATTTTATTTTTGTATATCCAATTTTGTGTGCTGATTTCTTTTAGTAAAAAAGATTATTCACATCGTAGACCTCATTGGCGCTGCACAGGTTCTTGTATTGGGGATTGGTGCCAGTGGTACATTTGGAGGCAGGTGCGTTGGGGCACGAACTGTACATCTTGATGCCGATTACATTGGTGGCCGCATAGTTGCAGGCCATGAGGAAGGCCTTGTACGACTCTCCCTCCACAGCGTAGGTGGACACGGCACATCCCACCTCCGTATTGCGATCGGCCACAAGGACGGTGAAGTGACCAATGGCCGGTCCCTGGTAGTTCGTGGGATAGGCATTGATGTAGGCCTGCTTCGTGTTCACAGCCTCACCGTACCACATGTCCACGCCCCACTCCACATAGTGCTTGATGTCCAGCGGCTCGTACCAGCCCATCCAGGCGAGGTTCTGGCCGGACCAGTCGAAGGCATCGGTATTGTGGCAGCCATCGTGCTTCATCTGGCAGCTCTTGACGTTGAGGGAGGCCAGGTAGGCCAGTTCGTCGTTCCACTTGATGGTAGCCATCCGACAGGCGGCGCTTAGATTGGCATTCAAACCCCCAGCAATGTCGTTGCGGTACGTATTCGTCCTGGCCACAATGGCGGCCTTCTGGTCATCGGTGAGGGTCAACAGGGTGGCGTCCTTGGGGCAACTAGAGTCCCAGGCCCCATTATTGTCGCAGCCAAGATTCTTTGTGCCGCCGCAGCTTTTCTTGCAGTAGTCCGTGGCCGAGGCAATGTCCAGGGCCAGGGCCAAAAACACAATGATCAGGATGTTGCGCATTTCTATTCCCACACTTGAGTGCTGGAGTTTCTGAGCGGGTTCCGGGCTTTTATGGGGAAACTGTTTAGTGCCAAGTTTTGTTATCAACATTTGACTAAATATTTACCAGCAGAGGATACTCGTAAAAGTACGTATACGTATCACTCAGCACCCACAATGTTGGTGACAAAATACATCGAGATAAAAAAAAAACCCACAGAGAAAACAAAGTATAAACATTGACAAGAGACGCGCTCTCCAGTTCTTCAAATGTGATTGCTTTCGATTGGAAATTATGTGGAAAACTCCTTCAATAATTCCATGGAACAATGGAATTATCGTTCACAAAGGTATATTATCTGTTCATATTGGTTAATGACAAGAAACATTAAATATTATTGCATCATCTGAAGCTGTTTGCTGCTTCCTTTCTATGGAAATAATTGCTTTAATCTGTTAAAAATTCTATTACACATATTAATCATATGGTAGGTCCATGGATTTCTCCACGTAAGTATATGGCTCTGAGGTGGTATATGTGCAGTAAATATAATTATTACACTCATAAAAATATCGATAGAACAACGTGTTTCTGGCCAAACAAAAGAAGAATCACCAGGTGCACCGATGACACCTGTTTGTCTAGCTCAAATGATTGTCCAACTTACAGACAAATGTTTAGAATTGAAACCATTACTATTACAATAATTAATAGTCTAAGTATTACTAGTTTTGCATTAAAACCATACTCTCCTGCGAATATTGTATCGAGCAACAAAAGCACAGACAGAGAAATCAATATTTGTACAGCTGTCGGCTGATGGTAATCACTCCGACTTTCGAGAGCACTACTAAAATCTAAAACTTCTTGAAGAACTAACATTTTATAAGATATCGGATATAAGTCCTAAGATTTATTACTTCAAGCATACAAGAACTTTTAACATCTTAGACTTTTGAGAAACCTCTCAAGACTATTTTAGCATCAAAGGAAATAAATATAATATGTAAACAGAAAATATTTTACACATCATATACCTCTGCTACCCTACACAAGCCTGGATAGTTGGGATTTGTGCCCGTTTTGCAGCCGGAGCCCTTGACACCACGCTGATAGACGGGACTGCCTACCCAATTGGTGGTGGCATAATTGCAGGCCATTAGGAAATTGTTCATGCCATTCTCCGTATAAAAGGCAGCCGCACAGCCGCAATGTGTGTTCTTCTCCTGGGCCATGGCAGTGAAGTGTCCAATTTGCCTAAAAGAAAAGCAAATCTAAGCAAGAGTCCAAGCTAAGTGGCTTAAATGAACCACTTACGGCCCACTCCAATCGCTTGGGTACTTGTTGATGATCGCCATTGAGGCATCCTTCTGCTCGCCCCACCACATATTCACGGAGGCGGTGATCAGCTGCGGTATGGTCATGCCCGATCGGGGTCCCGAGTAGCCATACATGGCCAGATTCTGGCCACTGGCCTTGAACGTCTGCGTGTTGTGGCAGGCATCGTGATTCATTTTGCACTGCTTGACATTTAGGGCCGCCAATTTGGCCAGCTCTGGGTTCCATCGCATGGTGGCCATTCGTTTGGCTGGCTTGTATTTTGCCATCAGTCCGCTGGCGATTCTATTTCGCCTGACGTTGTGCATCTTTAGGATTTGCTTTCGCTGGACCAGATCAAAAGTCACAGCAGATGGGGCGGGACTTGTGGGACAGGTCGAGGCCCAGGCCTGGAAAGTGTTTGTTGCAAAATCCAATCAGATCCTTTGCAGATTTATTGAGCTATCCACTTACACCATTATTGTTGCAGGCAATGTGCGTGGAGCTGCCACACAGCGCGGGGTCACAGTAGTTCGGTGTCTGTGCCTC